TTCATCGCGCGGGCTGGTGCGCCTATCTGGATTACCTGATGATGGAGAGCGCAAAGAAACCAGCGCATGATTTAGACCGTGACCTTGTGTTTTATCCGTCAAGTTACACCAAGCAGAAAGCTGATGGCGAGCTTGCAGGGATGTCCTCGCAGGTGGCTGGCAGAAAGAAGAATGAGGGGCTGCAGAAAGGTCCGTCGGAGGCCTTGCAGAAACGACGCCGGCGCATGTCTTTTAGCGAGCTTACAGACTTTGTTGTCGAAAGGAAGATTTCAACAGTGGCAGAGCTATGGAAGGCCTGGCACACATACAATCTGGAGACTGTTTTCCATCAAGCGTAATATCAGTCTTAGATAAGCATCCTCCTTGGTAGAAACAACGCGGTTGGAACGACAAGGTGCATCATAGGCAGTCCAATGTTTGGTCCAATCACTTCGTTGGGGATGCCGCGGGTTTTGTGGTCATGCCCAAAGTGCTTTGTTTATAATTCCCTCTCATCGCCAGGCCGCCAAAGAGGAAAAGATGCGTGGCAACTCTTTGGTTTGGGACCATGTGGGGCAGCTTCGGGATCCAGCTGCGGAAGTGCAGAAAATCTTGGCTGCGTGGCACCGACCTGAAACCTTGGGGGCTTCAACTCTTATCACCTCACCACGCTTTCCTTTGGAGCACTTTGATGTACCTCCACGGGTCCTGCAGTGGAAGGAGACCCAATCCCTCACCCATACCTTAATCCTGCGTGGTCCGCCTGGGCCTGGGAAGACTGAAATGGCTATATCCGTGCTTTTGTCCACATGCCGCGCTGGCATCCACTTTGTCAGCAAGCTTGATCAGATGCATAAGATCACCGTGCACCCAGGTGAGGGACTTGTTGTCGATGAGGCTTGTTTCAGGACAGTGAGCATTGATGATGCGAAAGCTTGGTGCGATGTGACTCACGCACGCGATGTGCACAACCGTTGCTCTGACGGACACATTCCAGCGCAAACGCCAAGGATCTTCACTACAAACCATGAAGTCCCACAGTTTTGGCCCCCAGAGTATTTTCATTCCAGTCATCAGGCTGCAATTGATCGGAGAACTGTTTGGGTTGACTGCCCAAACAAGCTGTTCAAGGACAGGGAAGCAACGTGCAAGGGTAACAACGTAACGTTACGAAGCGCCATACAAGGGAGGTGTATTGCCCCCCAAAAGTGTGTAACGCAGGTGGTCAGCGAGGTTCATTGAATCTCCTTTGAATGGCCCTTCCCAACGTTATGTTTTGGTTGTTGGAAATTCCAAGTTGGAAAGTGTTTTTCTGGAATGCCTGGCCCTTCGCAACTTTACTTTTTTTGCTGGAATGGCCCTTCTCAAGGTTGAGTTTTTTGTTACTGAAATTGCTTCCCACACTGTGCGGTGTTACATCTGATGTTTTGTCGCTGAGGCTATATTTCCAACATTATGCACTGTTAAATCTTGTGCTTTGTTCATGTTCCGTTTCCCTCCACAACTGCATTCCCAACTGGCGCTTGATCTTGGGCTGGGTATTCTCGGATTACCTGGCAAGGAGCCACAGGCTGATTCGGACGCCTGTGCATCCCATATGATCTCAGATACACCAGTGGCTGCAGCGGCTGCGATCTTGCGGCCAGATCAGGAGCCACAGGGTGAGTCGTCCGGAGCGGACGCCTTCAAGGCCCATAGGATCTCAGAGACAGCAGCGGCTGCAGCGGAAGATCTCTTGTGGCCGGATGACGATGAACTCAACGAGATGATGGAAGATTCATTTGATTTTTGAATTTCTGAACAGTGTATTCATATGCCAATTGCAGCATCTATCGTCTATCAACAGACGCCGAAGGCGCTACGCGAGAAAAGAATAGTGGTATTGACGTGAGGGCGCAATCGTGGGATGGTGGACCCGTATTTGTGATGTACTACAATCGTAGAAGTAGTTTTACCTGACACCGGTTCAGGGTTTCACCTCCCACAACCCCACTCAAGTCTGGTGGACACAATGTGAGAAAACCATACACTTTGACATTGGGTTTTTTTTACCAGGGGATATATCTGGGACCCAACCGACACCATCGCGAGGTGTAGAAATTGCGGTTTGTAGATGAGGTTCCTTTGGCGCTTCAAATTTGAGGAGACCACCGATTCTGGTTCAAAGGAAGACAACCGGGCTATCGGATCGTGTTGCTGAGGTGCGGCCATTGCCCCCCATTCATTCCATGAGTCGAGCTGTGCAGTGGAAACAAAGAACGCCGGGGTGGCACACCAAACTGGGACGTTTTAGAGGTAGGAGTTCCACTTCCCTTCATTGGGCCCTAGATGTACGTGGAGTGAAAATACACCCCCCCTCAGCTAAGATATCTTTGATACCGAAGCTGGACGCGGAAAGCGGTGAAGCAGGCTTTGCTGAGGAGCAACCCATGCCAAATGAGGCCCTTGTTAGTGCAATTTGAATTCGCTCCCCGCTGCCAAAAGAAAGTTGAAAGTTTGGACTAGGGAGGAAAACTGCTACATATTTACAAAGGACATCATGAAAAGGCTATTGAATTACGCTCGCACAAATGCTGAGACTTGGCTCAACTACTGCCATCGCCCCCAGCTCCTACTCGAGCTCCAGTCCCAAGCGCCACGGCTCCACTCCTCACGCGGCTGCCACTCGCTCCAATCGCGTGAGCGCCATCCTCGACGAGGATGATGATGAAGCCCCGGTTGGGCGCACCGTTGAAGGTGGCTCGGGCCCCTTTGCTTTGGTTGCAGGGAACCCCACTGGTCTTGCACTTGCCCTTCGCCTGCCACTGCCGCATCTCCTGATTGACTTTGTTGGGTACTGCGACTTGAGGCTCCGGACATCAATCCGTGCTCGCTTGAGCAAATAGTCCAACTCTGCCCCCCCAAACACATTCGTGATGAAAATGTCGGCAGTACGCAGGCTTGTAGGCCTGGAAGTGATCTGCAAGATCGCATCGCTTCGGCTTGCGCTTTGATCCACTGACAAGATTCAAAGTGGAATCGGGGATCAGGATTTGAATAGTCCTGATTCGTGGGCACACCGGTGAAGGTGGCCAGATGTTCCTTGAACGTCCTTACGAGTGGTTCAAGTTCTGGCCTCATCCACGGGCGCTTGTCGAGCAGGCCTTGCGAGCACGAGTGAGCAGTACGATGTCCCAACACGCCGCTGACAACAGCGTCAACATCGTTCGAATACCCGCCCTCCAGGTAGTAGCCAGATGCCGCTCATCAAAGTCCGCGCGCATTTTGGAAAGTCCTTGCTCACAGCATTGAGAGTGACAGCGTTCACTGTCCCTTGACAATCATGCGTGGGTTGAGTACGCAGCGCATCCATTTCTGCTGCCTTCTCGTTTTCTAACTTGAATATACGTGGTTTGGCGGCGCTAAGCTCTACCTGCAGTTTGTCATAGCTTGTTTGGGCTTGCTGCTTCATAGAACTGAGCTCTTCATGGTGTTTGCCTTCAACCTCTAGAATGGCTTCACGCAATTTTGCGTTTGCAGTTTCCAACCACTGGGCCATTACCTCCTTGCGCCTCCGTTCAGCTCAGCCTGAGCGATGACTGCTTCTTCATTGCCATTGTAGACCTGCTGCGTGTTCTGTTGCACAAACTGAAAGTACGCAGTCACAGGGGCTGTACCCATAGGATCATCAAGACCTATTCGTTACTCGATAGAGCGAGGGTGTCCATGGCTGTGGTTAGAGCACTACGGCTGATAGCCTATAAAAACAGCCGTTAAGCTACCGCTCCTGTTTTGGGCCGCGAGCTACAGGTAAGCGTACATGATATCCTACATACATTGCATGGCTAAAAGCTACATATTACGTGGAGTGAAAATACACTGGCTTCCCGCACCATCCAAAACTAAACACAAATACTGAACGCCACCAGCTACAAACAGCGCAGAGACCCCCTATCGGAGGGAAAATGTGCATCACCAGAGGTTGCGCGAGGTCCAGAAAGCAACTGCGCTTCAGCGCGCTCCGCCCGCAAAAACTCAACTAGCTCCAAGTAACAATATTGAATGCCTGAGTCTTGCGTAAAAAGGCCATGTCATCATTGTCACAAGGGCCCTCAAAATATTGAAGTCATCTTCTGCTTGTTCAGTCCTCTGGTTTGTTCAGGTGGGGATGGTTCTGCTTTACGGATGCATTCTTTCTGGAACATGGCACTTGTCATGTCTAGGGACAGGTCACTCCCCTTGGCCAAGTTCGCGCCACCGCACCACTGACTCAGCAAAGTTTTAAGCTCCAATCGTCAGCTCTGTGGTGAGGGTTTCGGCATGCTGCCAACTTGATGGATTTCAAGAGCCAAAGGATCATAGCACAACTCAGGCAATTGATTGTTGCCTAACAAGTGTGGCGAGCTCTTGTTGAATGTGATGCACCATTGAGGTGATGCAGGCTGACGATTTTGCCAAAGGGGTACGGTCCAATCCGCTACGCGGGCGGGCCTTCAGTGCTTGTCGGCATGTTTGCAAATTGTGAAACACTCACACACGCCCGCCCGCCCCCACGCACACACACAGAACAAAGCACGTACGATCTGAATGTCACAGGTCCTTTAAACCGAAGTCGAGCGCTCGCATGTGCAGACCTGAACCATCCTGCAACAGCCTGTAAAAGTGGAGAGTTGCTAAAACATTCACACCATCAGTCATCAGGGACAGTTGGTCAGACTCGGTATCCCATGAATGTGGTAGCTTCGTTGAGTGCGGTCCCACAATCATGCCGCACTCCCCTGCATTCAAGACAAGACAACAGCCAAAAGACTCCTATGCTTCCAAGGGTTGCACGCACACAGACACACACGCACGTTAGGCATTCACATGGTGGGATTCCCTAGGCAACCTGGTTCACAATGGTCATGCACAGAGCACATAGCATCTCCACAGCGAACTTTGGGTCTGTAGCTACACATTTCGTGCACATTCAAAGAATGAGTGCAGTCTGTCCAAGCACTGCTGGAAAAGTTAGTCCAGTGATGCAAATACAAACGCAAGTCCTGATTTATGATGACCTCGCTCAGCTTGCGTAGCATCTTCGACATCTGCGGCGTCCTCACTTCGGACTCCTTCAATTGCAGTCATCACCTATACGATATCCAATAAGATATAGAGTAAAAAGAAATACTTATATATATATATGTATATATTCAGGCGCTAGTTTGCTCGCATGTCCGCGCAACATAAAGATTTCAAGTGCAGTGACGGAGAAGGCAGTGATATGTCTCCCTGTTTCAAAACAATTCCCATACTAGCAAGCGGTTGGGAACTCCCTGTAGTTCTTTGGCTAACTTGTTTCAAGGAAATATGGATCCCCCCGGCTCGGAAGTGTGCCCTCCGACACCACCTCTCTCCACCGCACCTTCCGCATCGGATCGCTGGTGTCAGTGAAGCGAACGGCATTGTTACAGGGCGCTTGCTGCACAGCAGATGCCTCCTGGTGAAGGGCGGAGAAAACGCAGATCAGACCAGAAGAACTCTTGGTTCTGCTGCATGTTCAGGAGGTTCTTTGGCAGCTCAGTTGATGGTGTGAAGCAAGAGCGACGCGGCTATCACCCTGTCCTGGCTCTCGATAGCTTGAATGACCTTTGAGAACACATCACCCAGAATCAAGCCTTGGCTGCAACGGTACAAACGAGTCATCAAGTAGGCTGGCAAAGTCACCGAAGAACCTCCATACTATGACTCATGCCAAAGAATGGAAGGACTGCCCCTGGCTTGTACAGGCTTTATCGAACTCATCATATGTTACAGGACCTTTTTCTAAGCTTTGTCTACGAAGGGATCTAGTTCTGATTGATCTATAAGTGATTCTGGTCAATTACATTAAGTCCCATAGATATCTATATACAGTTGTTGTGATGTTAAAGCTTGATTTCAGCTCATCAAGCTTGTAAGCCTCTGAAATTTGCAGCTTCTCGCCCAGGGGCGTACTCTTGAAGTGGAATATGGTTGTAGCTGCTAGCTTAAAGCCTGTGGAAACCTACTTGGTTTTTCAGAAGCAAATCCAAATGATGTCTTATCTTATCATTATCGGAATTAATATATTGATGAAATTAATGTTCAACATTGATTTATTTCGTGCAAGCTTTACTGACCCTTCGTGAATTCCTCTAGCTTGTTGATAGTTTTGACTTTCTGATAGCGTCTGTTCAGAAGCTAAAGCTACTATGGCGCCGTCCTCGCAAATAATGAATTTTCTCGCCTTATGCATTTTGACTTCTGTAAGAGATACAAGCTTGAACTTTGAAGTAAGCTCGTGATAACCAAACTTCCTTTCGTTTGCAATGAACTGAGTTGTTCAACCTGGCCCATCATGCTGACGTTGTAACCTTCTCAACAAGGAATGGGCGTTCAAAAATTGTGATGTAATGTGGTGCATTCATGGATGAGGTGAGGTGGTGAGGCATTGATTTCTTACAGCAGCAAGCTGCAAAGTCTGCATGTGTTGGCCACGCGGTCATTGGGGAGAACATGGGAGAACATATCCAACAAGGATGCATTATATATATATCGGTTACAAAACACTTGCTCTGCATCTTTGGCATTATGCAATCCAAAGAGGGAGGTACTCAAGACAAGATCTGCGAGCCCCTAGGTTTGTGCGCTTGTAACGTGGATCTCTTGCAATGTGTTGAAGAGATGTGGAAATGGCCCGATCATTGCTGATAGTAAGATGCAGCGTACAGCAGGCATGGACAAGTTTCCGTGCAAGCGTGTCAGGCGGCAAATCCAGGTGTCTAAGGGAATTTCTGAGTTGTTTGACTGCATCCTGGCCTTGATGGAAGAATCTAACAACATGGATGATGGTTGAATAGGCACATGCAATGTTGGGGTCGGTCCTATGCGATTCTTTTACAGGCTAGCCACTTGGACAGCGTTTTGCACGAACAGGAGGGATTTGTGCGGGTTCCAAATGAAACTCGTGCAATCACCTGTGAGCCATTCGAGAAAGCCCTAGTCCTGAAAGGAATTGAGAGAGCAGTGGCAGCGATATCGTTTATATCCGCCAAGCTTTATCAAAATCCGTGATGCTCCCTGGCAGATGAATGAATTCTTGCACCCACCACTGCCTAGCACTTCAAACTCCGGCACAACAAAGAACTTCAGGATGTGTTCCTACCTTCAGCGGTGTTGCTCGGAGGATGTCTTTCATTCAACTTCGGACCAACAACTTAGTTCCACCACCAGCACCAGTCATCAGTACATGCTCGAACAAGGATGCTGGGATATCTTCCATGAGATGAAACCACACTTCATTACCAACCATTCACAGCCCAGCGAGAGATCGAGCAGCCCCCCCCATTTGCAGTCATTGAAGTCTGTGAGAGTCGGCTTCGCCGAGGCACAACGCCTTGGTAGGCGTTGGAACCAGCAAATCAAGAGAAACAAGACTGTGCACTTGTCACCTTTCTATGCCAACAGCCGTATCATGTTGGATCCTACTGGAGATTGGCGATGTCAAGGTCCAATCACACGAAAACATCAAGCACGGCATTTCTTCAAGCAACTATATACTCACCAAAACCCAGGAGCTATTCGTGCCAGTCTTGACAGACTTGCATTGGCCCTGTAGCAATGCTCTGCCGCATTGTCTCATAAATGCCACCAGCCTGTCCTGAATGATCCACACTTGGACGAGCCAAGGTCTGATCGGACTCCGCTCTGATTGTGAGGGTGACATGAAACACTGTCAATTCATCCAGATTTCACGGTCACTGCAAGGGACTAGATGGACATTGGTGAGACAAGACTCGAACCGCTGGCAGGACCCTGAAGGGACAGGCTGATACAACGTTGTGGTGGTGTTGGCGGCTGTGTGAGCTTTAGTCGCCATCAGTTTCACTCTCTATCCACCTTGTTCCAAAGTCACGCAATCCAATGTAGAATCTGATCACAGAAGCCGTGGTCGACAGACCACTTTTGGCCCGGTTTTTCCCCAGATAGCGAAGCTATGGGGTTCTTACTTCATTCAAACAACAATGAGTTGCCCGCGCGCGCTTTCGAGACAGGTTGCCGGTGCTGGGTGCCGGTGCTGGTGCTGGGGTAGAGACAGGGTGCCGGCTGGCTGTGGAGACAGGGTGCCGGCGCTGGTGCTGGCGCTGTGAGCTGGCTGCGCGTGGTGGAGACGGGGTGGCGGTGCTGGGTGCCGGGGGCGCTGGTGCTGTGAGCTGGGTGCCGGCACTGGTGCTGGTTGCTGGCTGTGCGCGTGGTGGAGACAGGGTGCCGGGCGCTGGGCGCTGGCTGTGCGCCTGGTGGAGGGGACTTTTTGTTCTGCAGACAGCTATGGGGTTCTTGTTATTTCAAACGACAATGAGCTGGCTGCGCGCGCTTTCGAGACAGGGTGCCGGTACTGCTGGCTGTGGTGCTGGCGCTGGGCGCTGTGAGCTGGCTGCGTGCGTGGTGGAGACAAAGTGCCGGCGCTGGGCGCTGGCAGTGCGCGTAGACAGCGGGCGCCGGCGTCGGTGCTGTGAGCAGGCAGTTCGCGTGGTGGAGACTGGGCGCCGGTGCTGGGCGCTGGCTGCGCGCGTGGTGGAGACAGGGTGCCGACAGTGAAGTGATAACAACCGCCGCTTCTGACAGTGAAGGGTAACAATCCGCCGCTTGCAGCAGAAGGGCGACCAAGCGCCGCTTCTCACAATGAAGTGCCAGCAGTCATGGGCCGCGTGAACTTATGCGCGCAACATCATACGGTGTTGTCGCTTGAGCGTTCTTTGTCTATTTGTGGGGTATTTACACTCTTCAGGTTCTGTTTTGGCCGACAGCTGTGTCAAGGGCTGTACTGTTGCGGCGCGTATAACGTTCTATGCGCAACGTCGGGCTCTCAACCGACCATTGTTTCAGCATGTTTCAGCATGCTACACACACACACAATAGTCGTGCTGGATACTGCTTGGCCTTGGGCGAGTGAAGCCTACGGGCTTTGCCGTTTGTGCGCATACTTTTGCGCGCATAAACTTATACGCGCAAGATCATACTGCCTTATCGTTCTGCAGATCGTTGCTTCAAGCATGCTACAAAGTCAATAGTGGCGCTGGATACTGCTTGGCCTTGGGCCAATGACACTTACGGGCCTTGCTGTTTGCGCGCACACTTTTGTGTGCATAAACTTAGTTATTCGCCAATTAGGGATAGCTATGGTATTGCTGCAAATCGAATGAGCTGGCTGCGCGCGCTTTCGAAAGGGCGTCGGTGCTGGTGCTGGTGTTGTGGTCCTGGGCGCTAGTGCTGTGAGCTGGCTGAGCGCGCGTTTAAAACGGGCGGCGGCGATGGTCTGGCGCTGGCGCCGCTGCCGCACCAGTGCTGGTGTCAGCTGATTGTGCGCCCTGTGGAGGTGCAGTAAGTTGGCTGTGCAGGCCGCGTACACTCTTGTTCTAGCCAGTCGCATGTCAACAGGTCGTGGGATTCTGCCTAGCTATCTGGGTCTATGCTGGTGTAATTCCTTTGTGTTTCCACCCCAATCGAGAACACGCACAAATCCACATGATGTTTGACTGGCTCAAGCGCGAAAAGGTTCGCCCGGCGTGCTTCGTTGCGTGCGTCGGGCGTGGGTGTGGGCATAGTTTGAACAAGTTCTTTTAAGAACACGTATTCTTCCTTGTGTCACTCAAGCTCTCAAAGCCTCATAGTTGATTGTTGTGTTGGTGTTGGTGTTGGTGTTGGTGTTGATGTTGGTGTTGGTGTTGGTGTTGGTGTTGGTGTTGGTGTTGTTGTTGTTGTTGTTGTTGTTGGTGGTGGTGGTGGTGGTGGTGGTGGTGTTGGTGGTGGTGGTGGTGGTGTTGGTGTTGTTGTTGGTGGTGTTGGTGGTGTTGGTGGTGTTGGTGGTGTTGGTGGTGTTGGTGGTGGTGGTGGTGGTGCTGGTGGTGGTGGTGGTGTTGGTGTTGGTGGTGGTGTTGGTGTTGTTGGTGTTGGTGTTGTTGGTGGTGGTGTTGTTGGTGGTGGTGTTGGTGTTGGTGGTGTTGGTGTTGGTGTTGTTGGTGGTGGTGCCGGTGCCGGTGGTGCCGGTGGTGGTGGTGCCGGTGGTGGTGGTGCCGGTGGTGGTGGTGCCGGTGGTGGTGCCGGTGGTGGTGTCGGTGGTGGTGCCGGTGGTGCCGGTGGTGGTGCCGGTGGTGGTGCCGGTGGTGGTGCCGGTGGTGCCGGTGGTGATATGTGCGGTGGCAAGAAGTGCAGCCGCAGAGATCATTACAATCCGCTGACTGTCCAACTACCCCCGATCGTGTCCGGTGGTGAATGAATTGCTGCAGGCGTTTTTGAGCATCATTGCGCCCCTGAAGCGACATTGACAAGTCCGCCCGCACTGACGGTGCTGAGACGTTAAACTGTCAGTAGCACATTCATCGCTATATAGCTTTAGCTAAGAGGCCTTTCGTTGGGGAACAAAAATGCCTAAGCTGTATGTATCTGGGAGAGGAGTTGGAATGGGAGAAAATAAAGCAAAACGCTCAGTTTTTGTATCCAGACAAGTTTACTTAAGGCAGTGGATCGAAATGCATCACGTGTACTTATACAGTATATGTGTTTTATCTGGTTGTTCAATGTCGATTTTCCGAAAAGCGACACGAAAAAGACACGTTTTGTTAGCGCCTTGTTTTGTCGCTTT